CAGGCGGAATCATGGGAATTTTTGACCTCGAAGCAATCAGTGAAAGATCGGGTTCCAAGAAGAATGCAGTTCGTTCACATGACTATGAAAAGCAATTACCCTTTCAGTATTTATTCCTATTGTTTCAAAGACAACCATCATCCAAAAAGAAAAAAGGCTGATGGGAAATAACGTGATTTCTTTTTCACTGAACCCTTTCGAGGTCAACCAACTTCGCTGGAAAACATTTTCAGCAATTTTTTTTAAACAAAAGCGTGTTTTAATTTAATCTTCCCAAGACAGTACTATTCATAAACTTGTTTGAAGCGGTTTGCGACAATTCTGTCGAAGAATGAATAGATATTTGAATACAATCTTCTTCATACCGGGTGTCAATTCCTTCTTCACTCACAGCAACAGCAAAAATGTGTCAGCCGGAACTATATAAAGCAAACGCAACATACTTTCGTTCATGGACTTATTCATAAATTGTCCCAAAAATTCAAGATTTTCCCCGAGGCGACAGAAAATTTCTAGGGCATGAAATCAACAGGAATCAACCGATTCCCCCACCCCTTAATTTTGCTGAGCCTCGGATTCTAAGAATATTCTTTATTGGCTCCTCTATGGCGAAGTTCTTCGAACATCAACGGACAACAGGGCATCAGATACACTATTCATTCTACACTTCCTCGACGAAGAAGTTGGGTTCATGCATTAAAAACGTTTGCATCCGCTTCAAAAGGTACAGTAATTGCAGTACAGTTAACTGAAGAATTCGACAATAGCTTTTTAATTTGTAGGCGCATTCGTGGGCGAAGGGGGAAAAAAAAATCCCGTTAGGCACCAGCGGCTGCGGGAACAGGAAACAGTTTTAAGATGAAAAACGCAAAGGTGGTCCAACTCCACATGCACGAAGGCACGTAATAAATGGACAAAAACGAAATAAAAATTCATATAAAAAGGATGGAAACTGTTTAGAAACTTTGAATGTTCCTGCTTGGTTAAAAACACGGTTTCCTTTTCTGGGAAAGTTTTCCTTTTTTGTTGTTGCTGGTGCAGTGGAACAAATGCTCTCGACTATGCATATGCAAGATAAATTTGTTTTTTTTTTAAATATATATTCGTCCAAATCCTTACTTACTTAGCAGAATGGATTTCCGCTATTGGGCTCTAGAAATGAAGAATTTAAATGGGATTATATAGAAATACGGCTCATTTTACAAGGGTTTTTGAAAGAGAACTTCGGGGGAGGAATGTATGAAACCATTTCTGAATTTCCCGGCGGAACTAATGAGATTTTTTTTGTTTTAATAACACTGCGTTCAATTATTAATCTTCTCAAAAGACGGAATACAGGTTTTATGAATGGAGTAAGTACACGATAATTTTCAACTGAAAAAAGCAACGAGATTCATAAATTATGTCAGGAACTTTTCGTTACACACACTTCAATTCGGAAATACTACCCAGCATATTTCAGTAAAATCTGAGTCATTGAAAAATATTACTCAAGGAGGAAGGACGCCTACGAGAAATGGGAATTCGGAAATTGAACAGTCTTCATCAATTAAAATAAAGCTTAGGATAAAAATAAAAATTTTTCTTCGAAAATATAGAGAAACAATTCTGGAAAATTCGAAATCCTTCCGAAAATCTTTTTCCCGCTACACAAATGAGTGATAAAGTGCGGTGTGACATTTCGAACTTTAACTTTAAAACGTGAGCACGCTGTAATTAGCATGTTCACGGCGTGCCTTTTACACCGGGTTTTTTTTACGTACGTTATAAAACGCTCCATGCGTTTAAATACTGCAAAGCAGAAGATTGACTCACCAGCATGATCGCTGAAAACCGTGAAAAGCGCTGCAACCAAGGCAAGACCCAATCTCGGTTTGCCCCACATCTTGCGCAGAAAACCTGCCCGATTTCACACCAAAATTCAATCGGTGAACGAGCGATATCCCCGATTTCTTTCTTCGCCAACTAATCTATTTCCTGGTTCATGGAAAAATAAAGCCAGTGATGAAGCAGGGTTTTTTTCTTTTCTTGATTCAATTTCAAATTGATAAACAACGCGGTACCGAAGAGTCAGGGATGATGCATCACAATTATTCATGAGAAAGTAATTTACAAAAAAAAAAAAGACGGCGCAAACTTTTTTTCGCACGTGCGAATGCGGATCTTTGAAATCCGAAATTGTTCTTCAAAATACTTGACAGAAATCTGATCTACTGACAAAATTCGCTCTGATTCATAAATACAAACGTTTCTCCTGATTTTCGAGGAAAACTCGCGTCAAAATCGAAGTTTTGCCGCTGTAAAGAAAAGAAAAAAAAAACAGAGCTAAACTTTTTTTCCGTGCGCGTGCGGATCTTTGAAAATCGATACATCTCACAATCCTTAAAATTTTCTTTTAAATAAAGATGATCGAATTTCGCTTGGAAAACCCAGCAGTGGTAAGTTCGGCAGGCGGGTTTTCGGTATGATACTCGAACACAGGAATTCAGCGGGTATGTACGAAATGTGAGTGAAGGAGGAACTGAGAAAGACGGTCCAGATCGGCCGCACGCCGAAGACCAACTGAGCCGCTCGGCCCGAGCAACAATTGGAGTAACGGGCAAAGGCGAACCTCGCCCTCGTCGTCGTCCTTCCTTTCCTTCCCATCGCTTCTCCTTCGTGGTCCATTTTTTTTTTCCCCCGCTCAACATCCTTCTTATCTCCTTCGGACACCTGTTGCAATGTCGGAGCAGTGTATCCCTTGAGATTCCTAAAATCTTATTTTTTTTTGGGTTCAATTCACGTGTGATTGCTGCACAGTAAAACCCCCGCTATAAAAGACGCCCCCCCCCCCCGATGAAGCGCCACCCTTGGCAACCGCCAACATTTAGCATTAAAAAAAAGTCTCCTCAATGCTTAAGACCATAGAACCCAGTCCATCTTCCCAGTCCATGGGTTCAAAAAGGTTGGGAACACTGCCTTAGATAACTTCGAAAAGACGCCAAACTTCATGTGCGGAATTTTTTGTTGAAAACAAGAACAACTAAACTGACGAAATATTTTCAAAATTAAGCAATAATTGGCGCGTCTCGGGACGCGCCTGCAGCTGTTCAAAAAAGACCCTTCCACAGGGCTTCAAAACAAAATTATCGTAAACTCAAAAAACTGTCGAAAGTCGCGAGATACAAGCCCATCTCTGGGCAAACATTTCCAGTTAAGGGTCAAATGACCCCTCACTCCTTGCTGTTTTCAAAAAGATCAAATATCCCAAAGGGGAGCCCAGATTTTGCCAGCTGCTGGCTGATATTCGAACTCGCCGATACTTTTTACACGTCTTATGTATTTATTATCATGTCGTCCGACGTCTTTCGGGAAAAACATGCCCCTTGGACACTTAAACCATTTGTCCCCGTCTCCTCAAAACATGCACAGCCTCGTAAACTTGTGTAAATTGAAAAAGACACCCAGTTTTCGGGAAAAAACATTTCAAGCATCTCAAATTTTTGTCTCGAAAAATACCAGCAGCTGGTGTTTTTCTGGGTGCAACACCCAGCTGCTGGGGTTCCCTGCAGGTACCTTGTGCCCCCGCCCCCCTTTCTTGCTTAAAAACCCTTGAATTTCGAATGACAGACACAGTCCAAATTTTGCTATTGCTGCGTTACGTCGTGTTCGTGAAATTCGTCCTAGCTGAGAAATTTACAAGTCTGCAAAACTGTTGTGCATATTTTCTTATCAAAACTGTTGTGCATATTTATCCTGTTATATTTACCTGTCAATTTGAACAAAGGCTTGCGCTTTTTGGGAGAGAATCCCTGGTTGGTTCGCGCACCAGCCAATTGTTGTGTTGAATTTATTTTCTTCATTTCTGACTTGTCCTCAAAAAACTATCTCATAATTCCTAACTTATAAGTACCAAATTAAAAACTTATCAACTTAAAGTATTCTAAACAGTACTTGCAAGGTGTATGGCTTGCTCCAATTTATTTCCCTTCTCACATAAAACCGTACACTTCATCCGCCAACATGAGTGATGAAACTTAAAGGCTGTTCAGTATTAGTTGTACCTTGTTTAAAATGCCAACAGACGCGTAGAAATATAATTTCTGTCCAGGATCTTGCATTTTTAACAAAAAATAGATGAAAATGTTCATTCTTTTGAAAGATATACAGACCTAATTATAAAATTCAAATAAATCCGAAGGAAGTAAAATTACTTTTCTGGATGCTGCTGTTCTTGGGAGGAAAATCCATTAATTTGAAATTGAATAAATTAATACTTATTCAATAAACCGCCAACACCTTTAGACTGCCAAAATATCCTTGTACAAATAGGTGCGTCTTATTGGGGTTCGATTAATTATACAAGCACAATTCAACACGTGAATGTGCCTTTCAACTGATAGTCGTAAGTCTCTGCATGCTAGAAATATTACAAAGAATTCTTGGAACTGAGAATTCTTGCAGTAATCATGTACTATCAAGTCCTTAAAATAGGCCAGATTTCAGTTTTAAAAAAGACCACCCGAAAATAAATTAAAGGGTTGAATTAACCTAAACCCCCCGGAAAGAAATCGAAGGGTTGAAGATAATTAACCTAACAAGTTAGGTAAAAATTGTTTCGTTTATAAACGTCATACACGCCGATTTCACAGAATTTGACGACTAATTTCCCAGATCTTCAAGCCGAAAATTACGTGTCTCCTATACAGCTTCTTTACGCTGATTTTACGCAAAGAAAACTTTCAATGCGGCCAACCATATATTTACCCTGGAAAAAATGTGTTCGGAAATATATTTTCAAAAATTGGATTGATGGAAATTTCGATGATTTTGTATTTTATCCTCCGCATCTCTCTTTTAATGGTGGTAAAGTAACTGTAAAAGGTTAGTTCTTGAAATGTCTTTTCAACATTTCGGAACTTTTTCTTTTGTTGTTGGCATTGCACCGGTTGAATTGAATTTCAGTTTTGGTATTGTAGTTCAACATTTAATTTAAAAAATACGAACGAAAACAATAGAAATAACCTGAGAAAGCGCTATTCATTTCAAATGCACTTTTCCAAAGCGTCGCGCCATGAAACGGTGGGAGATTAAAATGAAAAGTCAGTTCAAATTTTGTAGATTAAATCTTTTAGAATTCGGTATAAAAAAAATTTGACTTTTTTGCTCTGTGCGTGTGAGTGTAAGTCAGTAATTTCATCTGCGTAACAACGAGGGTGTATAAGAAGAAACATGGGTCAGATTTTTGTTTGGCTTTTCTTCACAGGATTCTCGGGTGCTTGCGTATTTCAGTCAGGTAAGACTTTTTCCTTCGGGATCACAGGTTCCTCTCTTTCATCAATGGTGTCGGTGACGAGTAGCCCGAGCAAGGGAACACCCGTGCCCGTGTCGCTGACGATGATGAGAGACATGATCGTCAAGCAAAACCTTGGACTCGGCCTTGGCGTCGAAAGCCTCGTTATTGGCACCAGCAGGTGAACCACTAGTCACATCGCAGCAACACGGGGCAGGCAAACTGCAACCCGCAGCCACGGGTTTCCCCACTGGGCAACAACACACAGGTGGAGGAGGACAGCAAGGACAGCAATCATCGTCGTCTTGCAGGGTTCGCCGGAAGTCGTCATTGAAGACCATGACCTGGTCTGTTGTCTGGTGTTGTTGTGATTGTTGTTGTTGTTGTTGTTGTTTCTGCTGCTGCTGGGAACGGGTAGAAGATCGGGTTGCCAGGTCCTTGCGGGACGCGGATTTGGACTGCAACTTTTGGGTCGACTTCTTGGCTGCGGAATCGAAATGTGAACAACTTACAGATAGAGTCAACTGAATATCTCGATATTTATTGGTATCTCTTGAGAATAATCCTTAAAAACTAATGTCACTCAATAAACGTGATAAAATGGGAAAAGCAGAAAGACATTTTTAAATTTTTCTTTGCGGATTTCCCCTCATGGGTGCACGGAACTTGGAAGCTGCATTCTTGTGACGCTGGCATTGTTTTCTTTCCTTTCGCCTACCTAAAGAAGAAATGGTAGGCAAATTTTGACAAAATTCGAAAAAAATACAGACATTTTAAATTTCATTCGTTGCCTCTAATTTTATATTCCTTTCTAAATACAGACGAAGACGATTTAAGCTAGGACTATTGTACACGTTTTTTCTAACAAAAAATTTTTTCTTCCGTTTCACCCCAATAAAACTTGGAAGCAACAATATGGAAGAACTTGAAAAGATGGTCGAATTTGATTGTGAAGGTATTCGAATCGCTAATGCTTGAACAGAAAATTTGAAAATTTTCATCTTTCAAATTTGTATGGCTCCGTAATGGGTCTCTAAATCGCCGTTCAATGCGGTTTTTCATCAGAACATGGAAAAATTCAACAAACAGAAACTATGTTACTATGGAATGCCATATGAGCTGATCACGAATTTTTATATACAAAAGGTGTACGTAAAACATGCCTGACGCGGTTTTCCGCGCGTGATCGTTTGGCGAACTGAGCAAAGCGTCGCCACGTTTTATCCAGCATGACGAACAGATGTCGCACGTTTACACTCACAAACTGAGACGGATCGGCAATAAGCGCTAACACAAACCTGGGGCGATGTAAGTCTCTCCGGCGATCCCAATCAGTGCACCAGCAGGCAAATCCTCAATCCGCATAGTCTTGGTGGTCGACTGCCGCCGTTGCTGTTGCCCGGACGCCGCCCCCAGATGTCTCTGCGAGGCATGTCTGCTGCTGCGATGCATACTCGCACTGTTGCCAACGGTAACAACGGCATCGTCCGCGTCATGCCGACAAGACACGCAGCAACTCGGCTTGCATTGCGGCGGGCAGCACGGCTGGCAACAGCACGGCGGCGATCCGCAAATGTTGTCATCTTGCATATTCTCCTGCATTTTTCTTTGCGGATTTCCCCTCATGGGTGCACGGAACTTGGAAGCTGCATTCTTGTGACGCTGGCATTGTTTTCTTTCCTTTCGCCTACCTAAAGAAGAAATGGTAGGCAAATTTTGACAAAATTCAAAAAAATACAGACATTTTAAATTTCATTCGTTGCCTCTAATTTTATATTCCTTTCTAAATACAGACGAAGACGATTTAAGCTAAGACTATTGTACACGTTTTTCAAACAAAAAAAATTTCTTCCGCTTCACCCCAATAAAACTTAGAAGCAACAATATGGAGAACTTAAAAAGATGGTCGAATTTGATTGTGAAGGTATTCGAATCGCTAATGCTTGAACAAAAATTTGAAAATTTTCATCTTTCAAATTTGTATGGCTCCGTAATGGGTCTCTGCTGAATCGCCGATCAATGCGGTCTTTCATCAGAACATGGAAAAATTTTATTTCTTCTATGAGTAAATCAACACAGAAACTATGTTACCATGGAATGCCATATGAGCTGATCACGAATTTTTATATACAAAAGGTGTACGCAAAAAATAAATCCATGCCTGACGCGGTTTTCCGCGCGTGATCGTTTGGCGAACTGAGCAAAGCGTCGCCACGTTTTATCCAGCATGACGAACAGATGTCGCACGTTTACACTCACAAACTGAGGCGGATCAGCAATAAGCGCTAACACAAACCTGGGGCGATGTAAGTCTCTCCGGCAATGCCAATCAGTGCACCAGCAGGCAAATCCTCAATCCGCATAGTCTTGGTGGTCGACTGCCGCCGCTGCTGTTGCCCGGACGCCGCCCCCAGATGTCTCTGCGAGGCATGTCTGCTGCGATGCATACTAGCACTGTTGCCAACGGAAACAACGGCATCGTCCGCGTCATGCCGACAAGACACGCAGCAACTCGGCTTGCATTGCGGCGGGCAGCACGGCTGGCAACAGCACGGCGGCGATCCGCAAATGTTGTCATCTTGCATATTCTCCTGCGTCGACTGCTGCTGCTGTTGGTCGTCGAATCGCATGCGTTTCGCGGAGCGGTTGTGCTGGTATTCCGCATCGTAGTCGTCGGCGTCGTGGCGGCACGGCGGCGGGATGCAGCAACACGGCGGCGGTGGTGGGCAGCACGGCGGCGGGCAGCAATCCATGGTGTCCTTATTCATGTTGACACGCGGAACAGAAAAGATCCCTCTCCGGAAGAGAAGAAACGCACTGAAAGTACTTTAAATGTCAAGATAATAAAATGGGAGTAATAATAATAAAAAAGCAAGATTCGATCGTTAAAGGGGAATAAGTTATCATCCGGAAAACGAAGGCCGGAGTTGATATGGAGGAGAGCAGGGAAATTAAATGTTGAGTCATATTGGCATTGAATCAGTGAACCTTCACAGAGCCCCTGAGGGAACCTTGAACGGTTTTCAACGGAAAGCTAAATCGTTCTTGGAAAAGAATTCACGGAATTCAAAGCTGGCGAATGTCCTGGAAGAGTAAATGATGATAAAAAAACAAACGAATTTTATTTTATTTTGGAACGAATCGGAAATATTTTGGTTGTTCAGCACCTCTCACCTGTGATGCATGGCCGCACAATTTCGATGTCTTCGTGTAGAACCAAATTAATTCTACGAATTTATTTGTGCATGCAGTTTCAAAATTTTTCTTTATATGCAACGACGACAAGACGATTATAATACAGTAGTATGATATTAAGAAAGCAATATGTTTTTGGTTTCATATGATTTTATTTTTAAAATTATTTCAAATAATAATGTACATGCTGGGAATTAAAAGGCGAAATATTGGCAATTCATATTTTGGCACGGATTTCCAACGCTTTTTGCCGAGGACAAACTTCCTCTACACTGCTCAAAACCATGATAGCTATCGCCAGGTTTTAATTGAAATGTCTTGCAATCCGAATATTCATACAACGTTACTTCAGTACTTCATACTATAAGGAGTACTAATAGGAGTACAGTACCTCATTTACTTCACTAAACTTGCTAAATTTCACATTTCCTCAGAATTCGACTATAATGGTTATTCTGTGTCTCCATCTGATCGATTCTCTTTCAAACATACTCTGAGAAAATCGCTAACTTTTTGTTGTGGGATTTGAAACGTAATTTCAGCGGATTTGAGAAATTTTATTTTTCAATATAGAGGATAACTATGAAATAAAGATGATTTATGTCATTCATCGAAACGTCCAAAAGTTTGAATATCCTTGAGCCTAAATTCAGTTCTCCAAAATGTTTGCTTCTCGGAATGTTACACCGTTTGAACAAAAATTTCTCAGAAATTTAGCAATTTATTTGAAGGAATAGGTTCAAAATGGTCATAAATCACATAAACTGTCTTGTGCTGTATATTAGCGACAAAAATAGGAATTCGAGCCTCATGCCACTTTTCTCTCCCGTTGTTTATGATACATTGCCACATGAAATAATAGGGGCAAAATGATCGCCGGTCTCTTGTACTGTATTTCATGGATGTTTGGCACATGTCATTTGAGTGAAAAGTAATGCTTAGAAAAAACTATCGAGGCACAGGAAGGTCCGGATCGAAGCGAAGTAAATACGAACAGTGATGGATACGGTCTTGCTCATATGAGATTATATACGTGTAACTGGTGCAAGTAATGATAACTCGCGGAAGACGTACGTGAAACAAACGTAATAAATTAAAAATAGCTTTTAAAATAAATTCGAGCATTTTCGTCATTTGCTGATGTGCTTTATTTGTATGCCTTTTCATGTGCGTTTTCCCGAATTCCACTCTTTGCTGGCTCGTCGGAAAAAATATCCTCGCGTGAAACTCGTGACATGCTGTACAATATACTGTACTTCTGTATACAGACGAAGTGCACACTATCATGACTAATCTATCATTTTCGTGGACATAAAAGTACTGTACAGTATACACTAATTCTGGCCAAAATGGAGACCAGTTTGAATAACCACCTCGTCTGCTTTTTTTTCTTTTTTCTCATTGATGCCGTTGATTCGCTCTTGTTTGATTCCTTCTTATGCTTGTGCAGCATTTCGACAATTTTATTGAATTCCGTAAAACAATTATAGATGACAATAACACATCATCACTTACGCAAGATTTACGCGCATATAAGTTTTAAATGACTATAATGACTACTACTGTATATGTACATTTGATAATTTTGACTGCGAGGAATAGCACTGGAGTCCTGTCCTTTTTTTTTACAAATTTAAAAAATTACTCGAAATATCTTTCTAGTTATTTTTTCTACATTTTTCGAGTTATATATTTGACAATGTAAAAGCGTTTCGAAGCCCCGCCCGTCGCATCAATATCGTCAAGTTAGAAAATATGCTAGAAGTCCAGAAAAATCTTGATGGAGGGCAATTTTGGAATTTGATACAATGCAGGCATTTAAATCATCGAATTATCTTCAGCATTGATGACTTGCTTCGTCTAACTGGAAAAAATAGCAATAATTTCCGCATAAACATCCATTAAAAATCATGGAAAACTCAGGGCTTCGATAAAATTTACCGTACTGTATAACGCCGAAATGCACGCAATATAGCTTTCTTTCATTTCCTGAGAAACCGATTTTAATTCCTATACTTTCTGTGTTTGATATAAAAAAAAGAATTTAGTTTTACCCCTCGCAGCATAGCGATCTAATACTGTAAATATATCTAAGCAAAAACTGTGGCGTTTGTAGAATTTCGGAATCCAGCAACAAATTTCGAGGATGAACAATTGCCGATCTGCAGCACCACGTACGACAGCAGCAAACTAAAAATCTAAAATAAAATGTGAATCAGTGAAATTGAACTTTAAAAAAAACATTCACTTTCGAAATTTCTCACGGATAAATTGGTCGTGTTGGTCAGAGTGAACGTTTTCCATGCGCTGATTTCCATTCTTGTAAAAATCAAACTCGACAGCAATCCTTCAGCCTGAAAATTCAAACAATAAGGCTAAAATTTGCAAGTGTCTCCAGCAAGAACAATTTTTTAAACTCACAACTTCTCCTTCGCAACCAACGGGCCACTTTCTTGAAATGTATCTCATGAAGACACGAAGCGAGGTTCGCCGTTCTTCAAACACTTGCGCAAAGATTTGAGTCAACGGAACGTTCCTCATCAGAAGCGACCATAAAGTCACTGCAATTTCAGAATACGTTAGACAAGAACTGGGGGAAGTTTTGGATACCGTGATCTCACTGTACAGAACCCCGACGGGAAGCTGCGAGTTTGTGACCCCTCGAAGCGAAATGATAGCGAAAATCATCACCGACATCAAGCTTGACCCGTATTGCAGGAGGATGATCTACACAAATTCCAGTATAAAACATAAAAAGCCATTATACGGAGGAAATCGTTGTATAGAGATATAGTCCAGCTGTTCAAAGTTACTCAAGTACTGGTTCACGTACCGGACCAAACAGGCGGTTGAACTCGATGTTCAACCTCAGCAACTCATCATTCAGTCTCCAAATTTGCCTCAATCCTTGTCCTCCCAGCTTATCTTCACGACTACTGACGATTTCATCCTTTTCGTCAGCGGAGACACCAGGAGAAACAAAGCACAGCTGTCGCGTTTCAAAATGATGCTCAATAAGCATAGCGAAGGCTTTGATTTGATTAGTTGTGTATCGTGAGATGATCATTCCGAACGTGTCCAATAGCCCGAGAGTGGTGAAAATTGAAACGATCCCCATGCGGAGCAGCAACAACGTGGTATTCTGAACCATTTCGATGCTTCCGAACTTCTCTCGGGGGAACATATTACGGTGTTTCTCCGGGTCGAAAAATAAATATATTCCCACCTATTAAGATGATTCAGAGAGGAAAACGCTGAAATTTATCAATGGTCCTGAGGCGTGAGTTTTATATTTTTTGACAAGGCAGGAGATCATCAAAATCAAATTTTATCCGTCACGCTGAGAAAATTTATGAACGCATTAGTTTCCCTCTTTCAAAGTGTATGTTTGGCACAGCAAATATAAAAATGTTTCATGAAACGGAGTTATCTTCTGTACACAGGATAATTCTATAGGTACCTGTGCTATATATAATTGTAATTTGAAAAAGTTTATGCAAGTTCTGCATGATTGGATCGCCTGTTTTAAGCATGTTCTACATCTTTTAAAGGTCGTTCCACTTCTTCGGCACAAATATATACAAATTTTTATCGAACGCCGGCGTTATCGTCTGAATTATTATTCAAAATACAATATAGAATCTCTCGACAAAGAAGCGTTTCGGATCTCAAAAAAAGCTTCGTTAGAAAGAAAATTCGATGAAACCAAATTAAAATTGCATAGTGCTGGCTATTGGACAGGGACCACAAAAATAATTCGTTTTAATAAGCATTTCGTTGACAAGATTCGTTGCAACGAGTCCACTGTACTACGCAGAATACTTTGAAAAATATAATTATACAGTATTTGAACATTTGTGTGAATCGTGGGATCAAAACAGGATCTGACAAAAAAGTTGATCTAATTCTTTTGTAAACATGTCGTATTAGCGATGCTACGGAGGAAAATTACAAAATTACCCGGAGATTCGATCGCACATCCCGTAAAAAAAAAAAAAAATCCCGACGCTTCCCTAAGTAGCTTCGGGATCGAGTGTGCACTTCAAACAACGTCTTGGGCAGTTGGGTGACATTATACTGAATAACTCACTAACTTATTGAATAAAACGTTGAACTTACGAACGGAGACATGAATGCTACCAGCTGGAAAAGGTAAACATTCCTGGCAAAACTACAAACAGCGCCACATTGGTATTTATTCAGCTTCCTTTCCATCGTGTAGCAGGAATTGAGGAAATCTGCGAATTCCTTTCTGCGTGAGGTCACGAGCCCCACGCAGGCGAGCACGCAGATAGCGTTGACCACACTCGGCACCTTGTACGCGTTGGAAAGACTCCATTTGTACCCGTCCTCAGCGTATTGGAGTGCGACGAAACGAGACATCGCAACAATGTGCGTAAGAATCCCCAGAACAACGATGATGCCTCGCATCTGACGGAATTTATTCAAAACTTGCATTTTTATGCTCGACGTAATCCGGCCTTCTGCTGATGGCGATGAATAAGGATTCCGCAGAGAAAAGCCCATGAAATGGGCAACTCTCCAAAGCGGACCAAGAACCTTTTCCAACTCCGTCATTCTCCGACAGGCGAACTAATGAATCTATACAGCCGCTGGTGCAAAACCTCGACACCGAGAGGTTCACTATACTGGCAACAATAAATAGAAAGAAAATACCGCGTCAGGTAAAAAAAAACTGACAAAGAGGAACTTTCCAACCGAGAAAATTGGCAGCAATTTGCACTGTTAACCGCTCTTTCCGAAGATGATCATCGTTCATATGGTGCAATAAGCACAGAAATGCTGTATAGCAATACGATTGATGG